TGTACATCATCCGTCCAAGTTTCACCTCATATACACATAGACACACGTGGACAAACACCCCGCAGCTGCCCACAATGTAACAGAGAATATTACGAGGTAATAAAGTCTTTCGTTTGGAAATCAATACTCTAAGCTAGACTAAAGCTTTCTTCAGATTTAATGTTAGGCATATCGATCAACACAGAAACGTATAGACGCCTTATAGTTATAATACATGGAATATATTGTAAAATTCCGGTAGTGCTGTTTGAATTTCAGTTACCATGTGACAAAGTAATATAGGCTGCAAGTGATGTGTGACCCATAGAGGAAATAGGTAGGAGGTGGAAATTAATATAGGGTGTCCAAAAAATTAATTATAGTTAAAATGTGAATATCTGAGTAACTAAATGTCTCAGGGAAACGGAATTAAATAGGTTTCTTGTTGAAGAATAAATGATTTATTTATTAAAAATTCGAACGAGATTTTCAAAGGGATTCAGATTTTTTAACCGTTCACAAGTGGCCAATATGAGCACCCATCTGTGATACGACATACTTCAATCGGTAGTCCAGCTTCTGTCAAACACGCTGTAACACGTCTTGCGTAAAAGTTCAAAAGAAGAATGGAATTAGCAAGACACTCGTACTTAAAATCAGAAAACAACAATTGGAATTTCTGGAGCACAATAGGGAAAAGGACGGTTTGGAAAACTTAATATTCACAGGCAGGGTTATGGTTAGGGTTAAGCCGTATCTAATTAATATGAAGTTGAGGAAAATAGCGTAATAGTTACCTAATGAGTTGGCAAAACAGGGCCAAAAAGGGATGGTAAAGGTAGAAAGAGTATGAAGCTGTGGAAAGCTATGAGTGGCCACGTCCTGTTGAGGCATGGAATATACTTGATGATGAAAAACTTCATATGTCGAATTTGTATTAATTTTAGGTGTACTTACTCAGGTAAAACTCCATTTTCCAAAATATGATTATAATAACATATAGGTTCGTTTTTATATAGATTGACTCATTGCAAAATTTTAAACTCTAATTTCATCCTTCTTGACCTTGTACATGACGCATCCTTAAAATATACCTTGCAGAACCAAGTTCATAATTAAAAAGAATAAAAGGAGTTCCATTTGGGCCAAGAGAGACACATTCTTGATATCCTATTTGATATTTTAAATATGGATTTTGTTTCTGTTTTCCAATTTTCTGCGTCAATCAATTCACACAGTTTTTACTTGAATTTCCAATCCTACAACCAATTACATTTGATGAGATTTTATTATTTTTCGCACTTCTTACGTGATCTGTTTTGAATATGAATCGCCTTGACGCTCCTGTTTCAGCTAATTCTGTTGATGTGGGTGCTGTCTTATTTATTCAGCATACCCATGGGTTGTTTTCTTAAGTGAACAAAATATAATAAAAGATATAATATATAAAGACACAAGGTTGAACATTTTGTACTTTGCGAAAACATCCTTGCAAAAGAATTTTACCAAGGTTCAAATATAAACATCCTAGCAAAAGAATTTTACCAAGGTTCAAATATAAACATCCTAGCAAAAGAATTTTACCAAGGTTCAAATATAAACATCCTAGCAAAAGAATTTTACCAAGGTTCAATTATAAACATCCTAGCAAAAGAATTTTACCAAGGTTCAAATATAAACATCCTAGCAAAAGAATTTTACCAAGGTTCAAATATAAACATCCTAGCAAAAGAATTTTACCAAGGTTCAAATATAAACATCCTAGCAAAAAGAATTTTACCAAGGTTCAAATATAAACATCCTAGCAAAAGAATTTTACCAAGGTTCAAATATAAACATCCTAACAAAAGAATTTTACCAAGGTTCAAATATAAACATCCTAACAAAAGAATTTTACCAAGGTTCAAATATAAACATCCTAGCAAAAGAATTTTACCAAGGTTCAAATATAAACATCCTAGCAAAAGAATTTTACCAAGGTTCAAATATAAACATCCTAGCAAAAGAATTTTACCAAGGTTCAAATATAAACATCCTAACAAAAGAATTTTACCAAGGTTCAAATATAAACATCCTAGCAAAAGAATTTTACCAAGGTTCAAATATAAACATCCTAGCAAAAGAATTTTACCAAGGTTCAAATATAAGCCTCCTGAAAGTAGAAGTTGTATGAATTTGGCATTTGAACAAATGACGTGTTCATCGACAGGATACATAAAATTAAATCATAAAATCGCTGATAAATGTGAAAGAAAAATGTTACACAGATAGAACGGATATAATGAAGAGCAAACATTAGACTGCATAAAGATAGGGAAGAAACTGAAATATTAAAGTCTGAAGTGAAATCAGCTTTGTCCAATCTGAACAAGAAGCAAAACGCATGACCAGATGGAATTGTAAGCTGGCAGCATTTATATGATTTCGGCTTTGACAAAATTACAGACATAATACGACAATGGTGACATACAGGAAGAACTAAGTAGAGATATTTGTGTAGCGCCTCTTAAGAAGCCACGTGTAAAAGAATGCGGACTGGTTAGGACAATTAACGGAATGAGCCACATAAGAAAGCTTATCATGTGAATTCCTGATTAATAATACACGGTGTTGTATTTGATCAGAAATAGAACAAGAACGGTAAGGTTTTGTTAAATACATTGGAAGAAGGAATAAGATAATCATACTGAGAATGATTTATAAAATATTAATACAAACGAAAGAAGGATCTACACGTAAATTTCATAGATTACCAAATAGGATTTAATCGCAAAAAAACTGTTGAAACTGCCAAGTAATCTTGATTTATTTGGGAAAGATAAACCAGAAACTAACCTTAGAGGAAACCACGTGGAGGCAGATAAAAAATGAATTCAGTAAATACGTTAAAATAGGAAGAAGCATGAAACAAAGATGTGTCTACTCAATGGGCTTATTCAAACTTTACAGTGAGGCAACCCTGAGGTAATTACAAGTCCTACCAGAATTCAATATTAGAGTTCACAAGATATGCAAATGACACTGTGTTGATAGCAGGTACAGTAAGAAAACTACAGAAATCGAGATGAAGTAAAAGAAACAACCAAAGCTGCAAAAGAAGAATTGGAGACACCCAAAAAAAACAAAAAAAAACAAAAAAAAAACAAAAAAACAATTTAAATATCTAAGAAGTGTTTTAAAATACGACGGAAAATAGGGCAACATAATTCGTAGACACATTTCAATAGCAAAAAGTTATGCAAAGAAAACCTCGATATAATCTAATAAAAGAGTACTGAACTATTATATATTATCGGTTAATGCTGGGCAAGTTAATCACGAATGAAAGAGAGATTTGAGGCAACAGAAATGGGGTCCTACAGAAGATTGCTGAGAATAACTGAACACGTGAGTATGTTTTGGAGGAAAGAGAAAAAGGGCAATAATATATAAAATCCAAATGAAACAATTGATATTTCTAGGACACATAATGGGAAACAGGATTTAGAGAATTTGACGCTCACAAATCATATTGAAGATTAGAATGAGGGATGAAACAACGAATAATCTACTTAATCAGTAAATCGTTAGTAGAACAGAGATTAGGGAAATAAGAAAAAAAAGAAAATCTTACTAAGAGCTGCAAAGGACTGGAAATTGTGGAAAGACAGGATTATCCACATTCTCGAGGGACGTAGCACATAGAAGATGATTTCAATAATAATAGGATTAATATGAATTACCATAATGACACATAAAGATAGATCGATTCGTTTTTTATGCTCTATCAATTTTTTGGAGGTGATTGAAAGCCGAAACATTTTGAATTGCAAGTATAATTATTTTTTGCAAGTTCATATAGCAATAATTACTTTTAGTAAATAGCAATGATTTTCCCAGATACTTGGCCGCCTATTTAACCCATAGGTGGAGAGAGGAGACGGATCCTTTCCCAAATATATTTGCGGGTCAGTCAATGTAACGAATTTGACTGGAATTCGATCTCAACCCTATCACTCGTAGTAGTAGAGCTGCCATTTTTTACACGAACCACACATTCTGACACATAAAGAAAATGCCAGAAAAGACATCACTATCTGAGCTAGAAAAGACTGTATCCATGACCCAAACCCACATCTTCTTGATGATTTTCCCAATCTAATATAGTCAATAACTTGTTAAAATTTTTCTTTATCTCAGCTCTCGAGTAAAATACCTGTTAAAGAGGTTTACCCAACAGTGACTTAGAGAAACTGTAAATACTACTACTACTACTACTACTACTAATAATAATAATAATAATGTCAGTAGTTGCACTCGGCTGGCATAGAAAGAGTAGAGATTACGTCACGATAAAGTAACGTTCAGAATACATTTGGAACTACGCAGGAAATATGGTCTCGAGTTCGCAGACAAACAATACGAGGATTTACTACCGTCAGCAGCCGGGAATGAACAAGTCAAGATTATGTGGAAGACAATCATATTAACTGACAAGCGCTTGGAAAGAAATCGCCGTGATATCATTCATATGAACAAGAGACGCTATGAATGCCTTCTGGTAGAGGTTACGATAAGAATATAGTGAAGGCGGAGAGACGTACCAAGATCTGGCATGTAAAAAGCAGTAGCTTGATTTGACACTTTAGAGACTGACGATTATTTTCAGGAATCTTTTTTCCTCGCTAGACGCTTGCTATTATTTGACATCATTGGAATTAATGTCCGAGGCAAAGCTACTTTGAACGGCTCACGTACTTTTGAAAGTGTTTTTAATTGATTGATTTGTTTTCTACGGCTTATCAACATTTTACAGGTTATTAAATGACAGAAACCATTTCTAGATTGTAAATATACTTCTTAGAGATAATAATGATTTAGTGATACAACTATTTAATCCATAACTGAGGGAGAAGAGGTTGAGTCTTAACTTTCCCAATGGTATTTGGCCGTAATTGAATATAAGGAATACAACTGAAATTGAAACTGAGCTCTTAACAATTTCGAACCATTATACGTTACACCACCCACACATCCAATTTTGCAGCACTTTTTATTCCTAAGGGGTCACCCATCTAGGTAATGACTAAGCTCGATATTACTTAACTTTGGTGATCGTACGGGAACCGGTGCTTAAATGCTATATCTTTATAAGTCTAGGAAAGTGTTTTGTCTCTAAGCTGCGGGTAGGCGCCGAGATATGACCCTAATCACCTTGTCGAAATATCTAAGAGTCCATGATATCGAATAGTAATAATAATAATAATAATAATAATAATAATAATAATTAATAACTGGGTTGATGTCCAGGGGAGCTGTACGCACACTAGGGGTGGGAGAACCACGGTTTTCACTAACACATCGTAGATAGCCACTTTTAACCTTTAATAGCTATCCATTTAGTGGAGGTTTTACAATTAAACATAATTAGTAAGCGTGATACCGAAAAAAAAACACTACGAAATGAATATCCTTATACCAACTTACATTCATAATGAAGAGACAAATTACAAACGTAATAGACGAGGGGGATTTGTATAGCCTCCAGTGTACAGGAGTCAATGAACTGTAACTGGAGTGATCGAGTTGCTCAATAATACACGAACTAGCACGAAACATTTATAGACAGAAGTGAACAACAGGACTGGTCGGTTGGTTAAGGTCAAATCGACAACTGATCTCAAAAATGACTCACAATCAGTTGTTAAATGGTGCAAGAAGTGGCTTGTTAATGTTAACGCCTCAAAAACAAAACTCCAGTTTAATTATCTGAGATAACCCTTTTTACCCTCCATCAGATGACTGGTGCTAACCTCCAGGAGAGTGACATTGCGTCTTGACAGACTAACGTTTTCAGCTGACATGATGTGGAAAGAGTATATTGAATCAATTGCTAGGTCTGCATTTAAAGAAGTTAGATTACTGTCAATTTTTCTCGACAGAATCTATCTTACATATTCTTAAGTCTACAACTCCTCCTTGCTTTTTATATTGCTGCCAGATCTGGTCTGGTGCTCCTGTTATATATTTAGAGATTCTTGATAAAATTCAAAGAATCTGCAAGGATATTGGTCCTGACTTGGCATATCGGCCTCGTCCTTTCCCACCACCATAACGTTGATCCCTTTTACCTTTTCTATAAATACTTTCATAGTAATTGTTCTGATGAGCTTTCCACTATGACACTTAGACTGTGTGAATTTACGGGAAATACTAGATTGGCGGTAAGGTCTCATCATTTAGCAGTTGAATTGGTTAGATGTTCTATGCTATCGCCGTTCTCGCTTGTGGAACTTTCTTCTGGTTTCTTGCTTCCATACCAACTTTAATCTTCACAAATTTAAATTCAATGTCTATCGATATCTTCTGTCTTCTTAATTCTTGTTCTTTTATTGTTTTTTCTTCTTAATTGTAGTTTTTCTTATATTCTATAACACTCAGTAACCCCTTGCGTCCTTGTGGCTTTATAGTCTTCCTTGGGGTGAAATTGCAAAAAAAAGAAAGAATATTGACCGATAAGGGGACTAAACGATGCCAGTGTGCAGAGACGTATTGATTATGTTAATCTGATCAAACTGAAGAATTAGTTCACTGTCCTTGTGTAGAAGGATATTCGAGAGAAAGTCATGCGAATATGGGATGGTGCCGAAGATATCACTCAGGGTGTTCTGATTCCACCTGAAGACACATAAGACCAGTCCCAGGCATATCAGGCGGAAGCTGAAAATACTCTAATCTCATAGAAGAACACAAAAGAAGAAATTATTTCAAGAGGTTATAGACACACACACAAATGCCTTTATCCACTGTGCCATGTGTCTTTGAGGTGTTAGTTAGATCCAGTGACAGGAGCCAAAGAGTGTGAGTTCAATACCCGGGTAAGGCAGTGGAGAACTTGGAGAGGGGAATTAACAGAAGATAACAGACATTCATTAAACATGGCACGTGGAACAAGAATAGTCTACCCCAGTGAGCGAAATAAAGGGTTCAGTTCGACATTCCAACCACCTGAAGAAGGCACGAGCGTACAACGGCCGAAACGTTGAAATAAATATGTCGACAAAGATGAGAACAATAGTCCGAATAATGTAAATAATGTACATAATACCTCATCTCAGAAATATAGACAGATAGTGAAAGGCCGTATCGTTGTAATAAATATGGCAAGAAAGATGAGGGCAATAGTCCGAATAATGTAAATAATGTACATAATACCTCATCTCAGAAATATAGACAGATTCTGAAAGGCCGAAACGTTGTAATAAATATGGCAAGAAAGATGAGGGCAATAGTTCGAATAATGTAAATAGAGTACATAATACCTCATCTCAGAAATATAGACAGATATCGATTCGCTATTATTTGCGATGATCGTTGAAATCCGACCTACAATCTAACAAGGAACCAGGAACAGTTTATCGATTACTTGTTATTCCGAAACAGTTTATCGATTACTTGTTATTCCGATACGAATTTAAGTTATATGCTACCAATTATAACCAGCTGGAATCCTTGAGAAACCGCGTTAGGTTATGTTCCCAGGATGTCATTTGGTTTCGATAAGTGAGCTGTGTTGAAAATGAAGGTGTATGGAAAAGTGGTTAGCACAGAGATAGAGCTGCTCGATGGCGACTCTTTGAAGGAGGTAGATAACAGTAATTATGAATAGCTGGGAGTACTTTTTAATGACAGGACGAAATCATAGAGACAAGAGGAGTAAGTGCGGCGTGTAAAGAATCTATGTAGACCCAAGTGGGATGGGGAAAATTAGTTTTCAGTCATCAACGTTTGGACAGTCAAGGTTGTAAGGTATTGTGCACGTATTGTTGGATGGATCAAAGAGGGATTAAGAAATACAGACGGAATGACAAACAAGATAATGACCAGGAACAGGTACTTATCTCAAAGTAGTAATGTGTAAAAGTTGGGTATAGATTACGTGGAAGTGTTGCCATTTTCCAGAAAGAATCCAGTTTTGGTTAAATAGCGGAATTTGTCCGATAATCAGCAGAGACATAATCATAGAATTAAAAATTGGTTTGCACTGAACAAAAGTCCTCACCCTAAGGAATTGGTTTAGACCATGATCCGTTTTCATGATGTTCCTACTCCAAAGTCTCTCAGGATTCATTCCTGATGTGTCTGAGCTTTGCAAAGCTAAAAAAAAAAATTATAGAGAGATTTGATTGAAGATAATGTAACACCAGACTGTAGAAAAATGTGTAGCATCAGATCGTAAGTTCTTTTCATGAGTGTAGACAGGAGTTCATGTTCAAAGGTGCACAGAATGAAACATTCATTGTAGAGACAGGAAGGGTGTTGGATTATGGGAAGAGAATTTATGATGATAATGGCCTTGATGGAGAATTTGCACAAGAAAGCCAGTGGGTGACAGATGCGGAATTGTGGAGGTGGTTAAGCAACAGGTTCTTGGAGAAGGAAACTGAAGAGAGTTAAGAGAGATATGTGAAGCGGCAGAATCCATCTTATTGAGAGAACAACTGATTTCGCTTTGTGCTGGTTGTGTAGGTTAAACAACTGAAAATATGCAACATATTGTCAGTGTCTGCATGGAAAGTATACGGACGATGCCATGAAAAAGTACCTGTCAGAATAGATTGGTTGTTATGAAGGAACTATGAGAGAGAGAGAGAGAGAGAGAGAGAGAGAGAGAGAGAGAGAGAGAGAGTTCATATGGTATATCTTGCTATCTTTACTGCCTTGCACTTGGAGAGAAATCGCCCTGATATCCAACAAAATTACAGCCATGAGTGGATCCTGAGAGACGTTGGAACAGGAACATCATGAAAACGGATCATGGTCTAAACCAATTCCTTAGGCTGAGGTCTCTTGTTCATTGCAATGCAATTTTTAATTCTACCGTTATGTCTATGCTGATTATCGGGCAATTTTCGCTATTTAACCAAAACCGGATTCTTTCTGGAAAATGACAACACTTGCACGTAATCTATACCCAATTTTTATTCATTTGCAGTTCTGCGTTTCAGTGAAATTAATTTATTCCATCTAAATATTTAAGTAATTAAGGATGCAAAATCATATTCATGAGATGAAAACTACAGGACAACAAAGAAAAATATATCTGCTTATATTCTGATTTTTCAAATTCCACTCACACATGGATTATTCTATATTCTGGACAAGGAGCAAGATGAATCTATTTCTAGAATCACCAAAATGAGTTGACCGAATTATTTGTAAAATCAATGTTTATCAATTTGACAGTGAGAAGAAAAACAATTTATAACAATTTGCTAATGGTGCTGCTGGTGTAATAGAATGCGGCGTGAAACAAGAAAGTCGCATTGGAATTCCAGTTTTTGCTTTTGTTGGAAAACCTACGAGCCCGACTGTTTTAGTTAAAGCCTTCGCTTAAATAGTATGGCTGACTGGAATGTTTAGTCTCGCTTTGGTAACGAGTCTCAGAGATCAATTCTGAATTCGAAACTGCATGTAGTTCTAGCGAAATACATACATTGTGTAGAGTTTTCAATATCTCTCTGGTCCTGACTATGGTCATTTAATCAGTCAATCAATAGTTTCAATTTTGTACTTAAATTTGACTCATAAGTATTTTTTAACTGATTGTTTATTTGAAATGAATTGCAGAATGTAACAGCCACGGGATATCTTGAATTCAAGAGGTACAAAAGGGGAAAGATCATCGAGTAATCAACCTAAAGAACTTGTTTTAAAAATGACACAAAATTTGGGCAGATTGTAAAAAGATTTATCTTGCTAAGCACTATAACGGATAGGAAGTTATGGAGAGCCAGGATCACTGACGTCATACAGGGTTCAGGCCTGGGTGATAGTATCTGGAAGCTGAACGTTCGCCAAACTATATGGCCCTCCTCTCGTACTGATAAGACACAAACGAATACAGAGCATTATATTTGGGAACAGGTGCAGGAGTTGTCAGAAAGTTGTTAACAGTGAACCGACTTCGGGACTCCACTCCAGGTTTCTGTTTGGATTTATTTCCATAGCCTTTTCCGTAATTAGATGTGACGACAGGGCAACGAAATTTTAATATCAGGGTTTTCCTTCCTCTAGATGAATTCCCTTCCCGGGATGACGACTTCCATCAACCCGAAGCATCTGCTATTTTTTTTATTAC